CAAACAAACCCCAAGCAATCCACGTTTTACCTTTTCCAAGTTTAGAGGAATTATTCTTTCACAGAAGGAAGAACTCATGTACTTCGGAGATAAGCTACCTGGGTTACTTGGTAGCTACAGGACCTTGGACAAGTTGCTAACCTTCTCAGGGCATCAGTTTCCTTGTCCATAAGATGGGCAGCATTATACTGTGCCAGTATTTCTTTCTCCCATGCGCAAGAATGCAAGATGGGGTTCACTTTTTAAAATTATTTAACTTCTGGTCCGGCTGGTGTGGCTCAGTGGTTGAGCATCAACCCATACACCAAGAGGTCACCAGTTCAATTCCCAGTCAGGTTGTGGGCCCGATCCCCAGTGGGGTCATGCAGGAGGCAGCCAATTGATGTTCTCTCTCATCGATGTTTCTATATCTCTCTCTCTTCTCCCTTCCTCTCTCTCTAAAATCAATAAAGGAAAAAAAAATTATAAAATAAATAAATAAATAATTCAAATTCTGATCTGACAGCAGTTGATTTATACTTGAAAATTTTCTTCTGGGTTTAAGTTTGTCCAGTGTGCCCTGGCCGGTTTGGTTCAGCGGTTAGAGCGTCGGCCTGCGGTCCTGAGAGACCGGGGTTCGGTTCCCGCTAAGGGCGCGTACCTCGGTTGCAGTTTGTCCCCGGCCCTGGTCGGTTGTGCGGGTGGCAGCCACTCGATGTGTTCCTTTCACATAGATGTTTCTCTCTCTCTCTGTTCCTCTCTCTCCCTCCCACTCTACCTGAACAAAGAATGGAAAAAATGTCCTCGGGTGAGGATAAAAAAAAAAAAAAAAAAAAAAAGTTTGTCCAGTGTGAGACTGGGGAGGGGGGTGAGAGTCTAAAAACGAAAAGACCCAGCCCAGGCTGGCTGGAATGAGGGTGGAAGCAGGGATCTAGAGAGCGGGCCTCAGGCCTGGGGGAATGAGGTGGGCTGATGAAACGAGGAGGCAGGGATTCCAGGTATTTGCAGGTGTAGTTGACCAAAAACACAGGGTAAACGGTCACTTGAATGAAGCAGTGAACTGACTACTACAAACAGAATGATAGTTGACATAATTATTAACAAGTAAGATGTAATTGTTCGATCTTAGTAACCATGAACATAGCTTCTAGACACTTGTCTTATACTATTCTCCGCACTTTCTATCTGTTCACTTTATCCTCATCCGTCTCTGAAATGGACAGACAGGTGTTGTCCCACAGGAAGGAACATTTCATAAAGTCAGGGACCACATAAGGTCATGTACTTCTGTCCCTCACACACACTGCGGCCCTTCAGAAAAGGTCTTCGAGAGGCTCTAGCCTGACCCCCACCCCCCACGACACCCTCAGAATAGAGACAGGTGCTGAACCTGAACACTTGCCGGGTTGAGATGACAACATGATGTCCCCATTCCATTCCTTTAAAAACGTAGAGCCAGGCCCTGGCCAGTTTGGCTCAGCTGTTGGGGTGTTGGCCCTCGAACCAATGAGTTGCGGGTTCAATTCCAGTCAAGGGCATGTGCCTCGGTTTCAGTTTGTCCCCGGCCCTGGTCGGGTTGTGCGGGAGGCAACCAGTTGATGTGGCTCTATCACATCGATGTTTCTCTCTCTTCCTTTCTCTCTTTTTCTCTCCCTCCCCCCCACTTTATCTGATTATAAATAAAAAAATATCCTTGGGTGAGGAATAAAAAATTTTTAAAAAGATATAAGAACTTTTAGAGCCAGGAAGAAGCTGCCCACACAGCCAGCCAGCTCTTCCCTCTGAATATCTTCACATGCGGTCTCTAGGTTCCGATCGGTACTGAGGGAGGCCCATTTCTTGAGAGCCCCAAATAAAAGGGCTGGAGTGATGGACAGGGACTGAACTCTGTCCAGGACAGGGCTCCACAGGCATCTGAAGCATGGTGGAGACATCCTCATGTTCTCCCTCAAGACGGAAACAGAGAGAGTAAGAGGGATGGTCTCTGGCTCTCCTACTTTCTGCCTCCCCTTGCTCCCTTCCTTCCCCACACTCTCACTTCCTTATTCCCTCTTCCCTCTTCTCCAGTACCTGCCTCAGACTTTCAGGGACATCCCACTGGTTAGCCTCGCTGGCTAGATAGGCCCGCCTGCTTTTAGAGGGTGTGGCTAGCACAAGGATGAGTGGGTACAGTGGTCCTATCCTTTCCCACCTTGTTCTCCCCCACTCTAGCCTGTTTCAATGTGAGCCAACCATAGAACATCATGTACGTTTCACTTGGTAGAATGCTGTTCCTTCACCCTCATACCAGCCCGTCCTTTGGAGCAGATGTGGTGCCCGTTTGATCATTAGAGAGCCTGAAGCTCCGGGAGTCTGGTGAGTCTCATATGAGGTTAGCATATGGCCGGAACAGGATTCCCGATTCACAGTCCAGTGTTCCTCCCATGGCCCATGTGGCCTCATGGCCCATGCCCCCGGCTGGCAGCCTCCCAAAGGGCATGGGCCTCATCTCCCACTGCCTTCCCACCCTTGGCTCTAGCCACAGGACAAAGGCTGTTCAGGATGCAGGGAGGCCTCCTGAGTCAAAAGCATGTCTTTCCTCAAGGCGGATTCCCTAGGTTCACCCCCCACATTGTCCTACAGAGCAGCCAGGATCCAGCCCCACAAGGTGCCAGAGCCTGGGCTGGAAGGAAGAGGGCGGCCTGGGGGATCCCAAGGAGGAGGAGAACGGAGAAGGGGCCCTTCAGCACCTCCAGGGAACTCTGTGCAGGGAGGCTGGGAGGCAGTTGTGAGTGTATAAAGTCACCCCTCCCTCCCCCATCAAGTGCCATTTTGCCAACTCTTCCAGTCCTTCTTGTGACAATCCCAGTAGGAAACTGGGAGCATGCCAAGTAGTCAAGAAAAGTAGTCAGCCAACTGTGCCTGGAGGGTGTAAGCTGAGCCTGCGATGCTAGGGAAAGAGGTGTCAGGACTCCACGCTTGTTCTAGCCGATTCCACCTCCCCTTGGTCAGTAGGTAGCAGGAGTGGCAAAAGACTCTCTTTAAAAGATGCTGGTTCAGTGAAAAGGTGCCAACTCAAGTCTGAGCAGTCTTATTTGATTCCTATTTTGCAGTGTCTTGGGGAAAACTGAGAATGAAAGTTTAGTTGAGCAAACTAAACACAGCTTGGCTGCTTGCTATGTTTATTCCTGGTCTGTTCCTGTCTCATTCTATCCTCCATGGGTTCTTTTGGCATCTATCAAATAGTTCTAAGTTTTCCTCCATGCCTAACTCAGCCTCTTCTGGATTTACATACCAGAGACTTCCATAGTTCAGAAGCGATCTGGGGAGAAAGGTGCAGTGGTCTGAGCCTGGGAATGGTGGCAGTGACTGGCCATGGAGCCTTTATACTCTCCCCCTCTGCGGGAAGCTGTTTGACTTGGGTGGAAGCCAATCAGATGCGCTGGATCATGGTGTCCTGGCCCAGGAGACAGGGTTTTTTTGTCTTCTCTGTTTGTCCTTCTCTCTGGGAGGAGGGAAGAGCTTAGAAACAAAGATGGAGCAGACAGAAAAGTCAATCAAGTCCCTAAAGAGTACCATGGGATGGGGTCCTATTGTTAGATCTGCTCGATGAAAACCCAGATCTTCCAACTTGGAGAATCAAGGAGAGAAGCGGAACAGGAATCATCGAAAAAAGCAGCAAGTTCTAGGTTGGACTCAACAGCTACCTTCTGCATGGTCTTGGGCAAGTCCCTTCCCCTTCCATCTCCTCTCTCTCTGGTAACTGAAGAAGCTAAGCATACTGAGGTTCCCTCCAGTTCTGAAAATGTACCATTCTAAAAACTACTGGTATGTGGTTGCTCGGTGGAGATAAGAGAAAGCTCAAAGGCAGTCTGATGTGCAAACGTTTCTCAATGGCTATTTATGGAGGGGTCCTCCCTCTGCATTGATTGCAAAGAGAAGAGAAATGTGCTTGTTTTGGGTGTTGGAAAGGTTCTATGTCTTGATGGGGCAGGGGATAATACATGATGTGTGCACATGGTAAAATTTACTGAGCTGTACATTGTGTTGCCTGTAAATAATGCCTCAATAGGACAGTTTTTATTTTATTTTATTTTGTTAATCCTCACCTGAGGATATTTTTCCATTGATTTTTAGATAGAGTGGAAGGGAGAGACAAAGAGAGAGAGACATCAATGTGAGAGAGACACATCGATTTGTTGCCTCCCACCCAACCCAGGGCAGGGATTGAACCTGCAACCCAGGTACATGCCCTTGACCAGGAATTAAACCCGAGACTCTTTGGTCTGTGGGCCGATGCGCAAACTGCTGAGCCAAACCAGCCAGGGTGCAATAGAAAGTTTTTTTAAATGACCTTGGGAACTCCAACAGGAGTTCAGAAAAAACTTTCTAACAAGAGGGACTTTAAAGAAGTGAATTTCTACCCAGGTAAGTTAAGGATCTCCCTTGTCTTGAGAACTTTAAGATCACTGCACCTGTGCTGAAGGAGGAGGTGGGGGACTAGGGGGGAAATAGTATGACCTCTCTCTTGGAGCACGTCCCAAAATCCTTCCATCTTCAGAAATTCCCATGTCATGCCCTTTCCTGGGGACATAAAAATCCTCCTTGCTGTCTAATTTCCATCTCTCCTATTGCAGTTCTAACCATTCACTCTGCCTTCTACGGAGCCCGGCCTCACACAAGATCTCTTTAAAGCCTTGGAGCTTCCAGTACTGAGAGGGACTCTATTTCAACCTTCTCACTGACTGTTCTCTCCACTTCATTCCATTCTCTTCTCCTCGGGGATGTCAGTTCCTGTCCTAAGCCCACCCCCACCCAGGCCCTTTTTCCGGTGGGTGTGCCAGTCGGTCCTGCATCCCACATCCCCAGCTGTTGACATTTTGTTGCCATTAACAGAGGATAAAGAAAGGGCCCCTGTTGTTCAACAATGGGGGAAAGATGGGGACAATGGGAAATTGTGCTTCTGATGGGGTGGGGACAGAGAAGGAAAGGACAGACAGATGGACAGATTGGGGCTGGACAGAAGGGTCAGGTTTCTCAAAGCAGCTGGAGGTCCTGAAAGTCTGGTTCCCACCTTGACAGCCTCTTCCCATAGGCGATGCGCACCCAGGCACCGGAGGGCAGAGGTGAGGACTTTGTTGGGAAAGGAGAAGGGGAGGGGTGCTCTGCTCTCACTGCTCTTCTGGGTTTTTGAACGTCTTGCCTATTATGGAGTCAGAGCCCAGAAAACCAAGATCGTTGGCCCAGCAGCTCAGCCTGCAGATGAAGCCCAGAGGGAAAAATGGAGGCATCTGGAGCTTTACAGCTATAAATATTTGAGCCTCATCCCCATGCCTATTGGCCCAACATCTTCATGCCCACCATACCCTTCTCTGGTCCAAGAGCACCTAGATATAATTGGGCACCTCTCTGCACTCTTCCCGGTGATTATTCTTGGTTGCCTCCTTTACTCCATCCCCCTTAGTGGGTCCCTGCCCCATTTCACAAGCCCAGCATCTTCCTGTGGGCCCGGAAGATATAGCACCTGGTCACAGGGCTGGACACTGGTCACTTAGCCTAGCTTAGTGGAGTAATGGGTAGTGGAGTTCTTGGCCCCTTGGCTTCCTCTGTGAGCTCAGGGCAAAAGCTTTTCCTCAAAGGTGCAAAAGGAGTGACTACGCTGACCAACTGTCTAAGTCCAGGGCCCTAGGGTGCTTGGACCTTCCAGTGGCCCAAGCAACTCCTTCACCTGGAACCTCTTCCTCCAACAGGACAAAAAGCTGCCAATCACTACTTCCTCCATCTCTGTGAAGAGACCAGCTTCTAACAGGTAGGCGCTGGGGCTGCCGTTGGCCCCTCTCATTCTCGGTAAGGAGTGTGAAGGGGTGTGTGCACTTGCTCTAAAATACATATCGATCATACAGAAACATAGATCAGTGATTAACAGCTTAAGCCTCAGTCAGATCCGGATTCAAATCCCAGAAAACCCCTCCTCTTACAAGCTGTTTGGCTTCACTTGAGTTTACTAAAATGTACTCACCTTTGAGTATATAAAATGGGATTCATGATCGTTCCTACCTTGGATTGCTGAGAGATGTGAATATAAAAGTATATATGTAAAGTGCTTAGAGCCGTTTCAGGCACATTAAACTGGTTAATGCTATTACTGTTGGTCCCTCAGTCAAGTCAGTCTCAGTTCCCACGATCACTCTGTTACCAGGTGCTCCTGTACAGACGTGGTTCTCTTGCTCATGTCCCTGTTCTTGATACTTTCCCTTGTATGTATGTATGTATGTGTGTATGTATGTATGTATTTATGTATGTGTGTATGTATGTATGTATTTATGTATGTGTGTATGTATGTATGTATTTAGTTAATTAAACCTCACCTGAGATTATAGTTTCCATTGATTTTTAGAGAGTAGGAGGGAGAGAGGGAGAGAGAGAGACAGAGAGAGAGAGAGAGAGAGAGAGAGAGAGAGAGAGAGAAATATAGATTGATTGCCTCCTGCATATACCCTAACCAGGAAATCAAACCTGTGATGTGGGCCGATACTCTAACCATTGAGCAACAGGGGCCAGGGTGATACTCTCCCTTTTAGCCACTGAGAACTCCTGTCTGTGCCTAACCCCCATCTCCCCTCTGCAAGGTCGTCTTGGCCTTCATTTGCAGAAAGATGGAGCTCAGCTCCTAAGCTTTCTGACTCCTCAGTTTCCTCCCTCTCATCATGTCCCTGCTCTCTTTCCCAGAAGTCCTTAATATGACTTCATTCATTAATACATTAATACATAAACACATATTAATTTAGCATATGCTGTGTAACATAAACTATGTTGAGAGCTGCAGAAATGAGCAAATATATACACAGCATTTACTACATATCAGGCACTATTTTAAGAAGTTTACATATATCATTTTCATCTAATCCTCACTGCTCAGTGAGGAGAATGTGCATTTTTTGCTGATGAGGATATTGAGGCATAGAGAAGTTAAGTAACTCACCCAAAGTGATGCATTAGGAAGTGGAGAAATCAGATTTTAAAAATAAAACTCACAGACAATAGTTTGGGGAAAGCAGGAGTGGGGTGGGAGTGGGAAGGAAGGGGTCAATGGGGGAGAAACGGGACATCTGTAAAAAATAATAAAAGTAGGTTAAGGGGTCCTCAGTTTTAAAAAAAATATTATCAAGCCCTGGCTCAGTGGTTGGAGCGTTGGCTTGCGGACCAGAGAGTCCCGAGTTCGGTTCCCGCTAGGGGCACGTACCAAAAAAAATATACATATTATCAAGGTGATGAAGGACGCAATAAAGGAGAAAATAACCACTGAAATAGATAATTGTGTTTAAAATCTTTTTTATAACTATAATTTTATACTTTATAATTACTGGAAACCTTATACATATGCATATGTATTTCAAATTCACACTATTGATTTAGCTGCTAATAAAAGTGTGGTGAACTGTGGGGAAGAAAAAAGGTTTCCAAAATAGGTGAGGCCCAAACTGATGTCTGTGAGGTGAGAGTGAACTTGGACTGTTTTGGAGTCCGAAGTCCATGTGTGGAGCACAGCACAGAAGGCACAGGTGGTGAAGTGCAGGGAGAGACTGGATCACAGAGACTTAGAAGCTGTGGTTAGGGGACTAGACTTTATTCTCAGGGAACCGGGGGGGGGGGGGGGGGGGTCGACGACAACACTGTTTTAAGCGGGAGAGTGACCAGATCATATTTACTCTGGCTTCAGATGGCAGTGGGTGTTGGAGAGGACAGAAACTAGAGCTGGCAATCCAGATAGCAAGACTTGGAAAGTGACACTTGTGATGAGAGGGGGATAGGAAGAGCACCTGATGACTGAAGGGATGAAAGAGAGGAAGAGGAATGGGCAGGGGTGAGGGTGTGGTTGTTACTGACCCCCTCCCCCTACCACCCTCCTTTTGCCACAAACTATACTCCTTTTTCTGCCCTCATGGCTTCCAGCTGAACAGCTCCTCTGAGGAATCCCTGCTGGGAGTTCATCTCCAATCCTGCTTTCCCTACCCTGCCCCATCCCCTTAATCCTAAAGAATGACCCATCCTTTGTGCCTTGTAGACCCATCATGCAAGGCTGGCTCAATCTCCCCACCCTCTGTCACTTTCTTCTCCCATGGACCTTCACCACCTTACACAAAACCCTGGGAGACCCAGGTAAGAACTCAGTCCTGCCCAAAATCTGGGGGAACAGTGGGGGAGAAGCTCCAGGTGTGGGGAAAGGCAGCTGTTGGAGATACCCAGGGAGTGAAGAGTCATTGCTGAGTGGGCACTGGAGAAGAGGATGGGGTAGCCTGGGGAACAGGGTCTGGATGGGCACTTGGGGCAGTGGGGATCAGGGGGTTCCTGCCACTGTGGCCCCCTCTGCTCAGCATCCCATCGGGGCCCCAACTACCTCCTGCCCCCCATCCACGAGGTCATTCACTCTCGTCGTGGCGACACAACCACGCTGCCCTGCGTCCTGGGCACCCTGCCTCCCAGCTACAAGGTGCGCTGGAGCAAAGTGGAGCTAGGGGAGCTCCGGGAAACGCTGATCCTTATCACCAACGGACTGCATGCCCGGGGCTACGGGGCCCTGGGGAGCCGAGCCAGGATGCGGAGGGGGCATCGGCTAGACGCCTCCCTGGTCATTGCGGGCGTGCGTCTGGAGGACGAGGGCCGGTACCGCTGTGAGCTTATCAACGGCATCGAGGACGAGAGTGTGGCCCTGACCCTGCGCCTGGAGGGTGAGGCCTTTCGGTTCCAGCCCCCTCCTCTCTCGAGGCAGTGGTGGTGGGGGTTGGGATTCGGGTCTCCCGGGACTCCTCCCTCAGCATCTCCCTCGCTCGCTCCCGCGATTTCCCCTGCCCCCGCCCTCTCTGCTAGGCTGCGGCGCCTTTTCTTCCCCCTCCCTCGTCTGCCGCCACTCCCCAGGCTGTCCGCCACTCCCCAGGTGTGGTGTTTCCGTACCAGCCCAGCCGGGGCCGGTACCAGTTCAACTACTACGAGGCCAAGCAGGCGTGCGAGGACCAGGATGGACGCCTGGCCACCTATGCCCAGCTGTACCAGGGTGAGCGGCCCCGGGCACTGCCTAGGCCCCTCCAGGCTGTTACAAGGGTCCCAGCGAAGGCGACCTCCGGGTCTGGCTCTTGCCTATGACGCCTCTAATCCCCCCATCTCCCGCCAGCGTGGACCGAAGGTCTGGACTGGTGTAACGCGGGCTGGCTGCTCGAGGGCTCCGTGCGCTACCCTGTGCTTACAGAGCGCGCTCCGTGCGGCGGCCGTGGTCGGCCGGGGATCCGAAGCTACGGGCCCCGCGACCGGAAGCGCGACCGCTACGACGCCTTCTGTTTCACCTCGGCGCTTGCAGGTGAGGGGCGGGGCGAGCGCCCCCGGGGGCGGGGCCTAGTGGGCCGCGAAGGAGGCGCCGCGGGGCGAAGAAGGCAAAGACCGTTACCTGGGGCGGGGTCTGGAGAATGGGGCGGGGTCTGGAGAATGGGGCGGGGAAAGTAGAACGCTGGAGGCTGGATTACCCCTTGGCGGCCTGGCCCCTGTGTCACTCCGCCCACCCGCTCCAGCCTGTCTCCTGCAACCCCACCTGCACACCTCCCGGGGTACTCACTCCTCCCACCTAGCCTGGCCCTCCGCAGCCTCCCCCTCGACTCCCCTGGGAGCCTGAATCCCCGCTGCACCCCGCCTGTTCTGCTCTCGGCCAGTCAGTGATCGGCTCGGGTCCCCAGGCCATGTGTTCTTCGTGCCCGGGCGGCTGACGCTGTCTGAAGCCCACGCGGCGTGCCGGCGGCGCAGGGCCGTGGTGGCCAAGGTCGGGCACCTCTATGCCGCCTGGAAGTTCTCGGGGCTGGACCAGTGCGACGGCGGTTGGCTGGCGGATGGCAGCGTGCGCTTCCCCATCACCACGCCGCGGCCGCGCTGCGGGGGCCTCCCTGATCCCGGAGTGCGCAGCTTCGGCTTCCCCCAGCCCCAGCAGGCCAACTACGGGACCTACTGCTATTCGGAGTAGGGTCCCATCGCACCCCCTTCAACACGCACGACAAAGCCTGGGAGTCGTGGCGGACGTCTCTTGCCGCCCCTTTCCCTCGAGCCTCCCCTCCTGCCAGATGAGAAGCAGCCCTCCTGAGAGGGCTGCGGGCCGCGGATCCAAGCTGATCGGGTGTTGGGAGGGGAGGTAGTGGGTTCCCGGTGGCGGGGTGCAGCTGTGATCCTCGGACCTGCGGATCAAGGCCCCGTGGCAGTTTGCGTGCCCCCAGCAGAGGACTCAGCCACTTCTAGGGGGCGGGAGGAGCGCCCAGGGGACATCAACTGACTTCTGTATACAGCAATAAAATAATAGGAAGTTTTTGTGTTGGGCGAACCTGTAAGTACGGGGAGGAGTCGGGGGTGAGGGGGATGAATTCGGACACAGCGTGCTGACTGAGCTTAGGAGAGCCTGCAGGAGAGGGGATGGCGGGGAGAGAACACCAAAAGGGCGAAGGAGAGTTCAAGACACCGTGAGCTACCTGGCACGGTAGAGACGCGAAGAACCCAGGGTGTTGCGCCAGGCACCACCAGGGGGCGCTACAAACTCACCTAAGATTACTTCAAATCTGCCAGAAGTGCTTCAACCTCAGGCTTACACCCTCGACACCACAGAACAAATATAAAAGGGACCTAAAAATATTTCTAAATGTGTTTGCAGTCTGCCAGTCTCCCAGAAGGATTTCTAGGACTACTATTAAAGAAAGGGAAGTTATAGTGTTGTTACAACTAATGGGAAATTAACCCTATGGGAGGAGAAGGAGGCAAACACCACACCAGCAGGGCCGGCCCGGTTGATACTTCCGGGGATTGTGCATTTGGTTTAGCTCGGACCACCACCATGGCCTCCAGGGAAAAGGGGCAACTGGACCAGGAGCATTCTTAACATCTGGCTAAAGGAAACATACCAGTAACTCAATGTACAAAGTCGAATGTCACTCATTTTTTATATATATTATTTTTTATTTTTACTGTTCAATCAATCTAACTGCACCACAAAAGCCTGTTCTAGAGAATAGTAACGACTGGAGCAAAGGGTATGAACTTTCTAATGGCTCTTGATACATGTAAAATTGCTTTCCAAGAGAATTCTTGCTATGATTGTTAGAGTTCACCCATAGGACTTTGTTTAAAGGACAGAGAATGATAGAATGAATAGCATCTTCAATAACCCTCAGATAGCAGATAAAATATGTGTGCCAGTTCCTAAGGTTTGGTTTTCCTGTCTAGGTCATTGGATAATATCTGCCTCCTGAGTTTGTTGTGAGCAGAATTGAGACAATACAATATATACTGGGTAGTATATGCCTGCTACACATAAGAGGCACTCAGTAAGCAGTACCTATAATAATCAATGATTGTTATAACAATAATAGAACAATTATTATTATTATCATCATTATTATTATTCAGGTTCTTACCAGGTAGCTTGTAGGATTGGTTGCTGCATGGCATTGTATTAGGACAAGCTAAATTAAGCTGTAATAACAAACTCCAAATCTCAATGGCTTAAATCAACAAAGATTTATTACTCAAGCTATATGTGCATTGTGGTCAACAAGGGGGTAGGTCTTCTCATTTTAGTAATTCAGGGACCTGGGCTAATAGAGCAGTCACCATCTCAAATGCTGTAAGTCACTATGCCAGAGTAAAAAAAAAAAGCCAATTATTAGCTGCAACCCAGAGGGATACCTGTCCCTTCTGTTCACATCTCAGTTTTCCAGAATTAATTACATGGCCCAGCTCAACCACAAGGGGGCGGAAAAGAGCAGTCACCTTGGCCTAGAAGCAAAATTGGAAATAGTCTTTGGTGGCAGCAGCAGCACCGGAGTCTACCGCTAGCACCAAGGAGGGCAGTGTAGGTTCTGGGACACATTGGAATTCCCCCATTCCCCCACCACTCTCTGGATCTTCTAAGTTCTGGCTTATTATGGAGTCGAGAGACCAGAAAGCCAAGATCCCTGGCCCAGCAACTCAGCCTGCAGACAGAGATGGATTTTCTTCAGTATGATGCCTTCAGGCTTTGTCAAGAGACCATATGAAAAATGGTCATAGGAGGAGCTTCCCATTTGCTGCAGAACTTTGTTTCTTTACTCATAAAAACACATAACCACTAATTCTTACATATTGCTATTTATTATGAAGAATTTGAAACACACAAAAAATAGAATAGTGTAATGAATCACTTCGTCATCCAGCTTGACCATTTCACAATTCTGCCCTTCTTATTTTATCAATCCCCTCATGTTTGGTTTTGCTGGACTATTTAAAAATTTTGTTTTATTGATTTTTTATAGAGAGAAAGGAAGGGAGAGAGAGAAACATCCATGGAAGAGCAAAGGCTGGCCGTCTCCTGCATGCCCCACAGGGGATTTGGCCCACAGCCTGGGTATGTGTCCTGACTGGGAATTGAACCAGTGACCTCTTGGTGCATGGGTCGACACTCAACCACTGAGCCACACTGGCCAGACAACTAATTCTCTTTTTTTTAAAAGTCTTGCAACGACTGACCCCCCCTGGAGTGGCTCAGTGGATTGAGCATCAGCCCATGGACTGAGAGGTCCCAGTTTGATTCCTGGTCAGGGCACATGCCTGGGTTGTGGGCCCGATCCCCAGTAGGGGGTGTGCAGGAGGCAGCCAATAGACGTTTCTCACATTGATGTTTTTATCTCTCTCTCCCTTCCTCTCTATAAATCAATAAAAACACATCTAAAAAAAGTAAAAAGTCGCCGATTGGTATGGCTTAGTGGATTAAGTGTCAGCCCATGGACTCAGAGGTCCCAGTTTGATTCCTGGTCAGGGCACATGCCTGGGTTGGGGGCTCGATCTCAAGTAGGGGGTGTGCAGGAGGCAGCCAATAGATGTTTGTCTCTCACATCATGTTTCTTTCTCTCTCTCCCTTCCTTTCTCTCTAAAAAAATCAATAAAGCCCTGGCTGGTTGGAATCAGTGGTTAGAGCATTGGCCCATGGACTGGAGAGTCCTGGTTTGGTTCCACTAAGGACATGTACCTTGGTTGCAGTTTGTCCTCCGGTTGGGGTCGTGTGGGTAGTAGCCAGTCGATGTGTCTCTCTTACATCGATGTTTCTCTCTCTCTCTTCCTCCTGCTCTATCTGAAGTTAAATGCAAAAAAAAAAAAAAATGTTCTCAGGTAAGGATAAAAAAATCAATAAAAACATACATAATAAATAAATAAATAAATAAATAAATAAATAAATAAGTCTTGCAACAGGAGGGCTAGTGGGACAAACTACAGTAACCACTTCTGCCGTTGGTTCCAAGGTTGCAATCAATATTCAACATCTCCCTCTTCCACAATTCATTCTGCTGGTCCCTAGGATTTTCACAATGGAAAAACCCAGACCTTCATCCTTGAAGGCCTCAGCCTTTCATTGCCATGCCCTTGAGAGGTCAACATTGCTGCAACTGCCTGTTCATGATTATCAGTGGACATGGGATAATCAAGATAAAATGTCTTTGCCAATATACTTTTTTTTTGGGGGGGGGGGGTTACTGATCAATTGGCATAAGGTAACCCAAATGACCCAGAGCCTGATGTTGCCTTAGGTTTAGTGGTACCCATATGTACTGTGACTCCTGGTAGATGCCTCTCCCAAGCTAGGAACTAGGGCTTCTAATTCTGCAGAGCCTAAATTTACAGGAACAGGAAGCACAAATTACCCAAGTGGATCATGGGGACTGACTGTGAGAAGAATACTCTGATTTCTGACCCATGATTTCTGTATGGGATACAGCATCATATTATGACCATCGGTTCAAATTATATACTGTATTTTGAAGGCCAATAGCCCAATGCTAGAGGATGTTTCCCCAAATTGGTATTTATTTATTTTAATATTTTTTAAAATTGATTTTAGAAAGGAAGGGAGAGAGAGAGAAAGAGAGAGAGAAACATCAATGTAAGAGAAACATCAATCGGCTGCCTCCTAATCCCCCCTCCCCCACTAGGGATCAAGCCCACAACCCAGGCATGTGCTCTGACTGGGAATTGAACCGACGACCTCATGGGACAATGCCCAACCAACTGAGCCGAACTGGTCAGGGCTCCAAGCTGGTATTTAGATGTGCTATAAAGAGATCATACTAATGGATTATCAGGCTGGCAATTTCAAGGTGATGTGGTATATCATAGGAATGGAGACTATGGTCCCATGCCCATTTTCACATTTACTTCACTGTAAAGTGGATCCCCTTAGTTAGAGGTGATACTATATGGGATCTCATAAGGATAAATCATTTCCTTTATGTCCTTGGATAATGATGCTGCTGCCCAAGGCGCTTGGGCAAGAAAGGCACATCCACATCTAGAATATTAATCCCAGTAAGAAGATATTGCTCTCTCCTCCAGATGGAATGAGGTATATTGGTTGCACTGCCCAGTGGCTGGTCGGGATTCTTGAGGGATGGTACCATGTTGAGGGTTAAGTGTCTGTCTCTGCTGCTGACAGGCCAAACATCTAGCATCGGCAGCTGCTAGATTAGCCTGGTGAGGGGGAACCCCTGCTGGTGAACCCTCACAGTCTCCATGTCTACTGTCGCATCTGTTCCATTATAGACCGCGTGCAAGCCCTGCCATAGTGGCGGACAAAGGCCAGCTGTTCCCCACGGGAATCCTTGTTCCCTTGGCTGTTCAAGGTTTCCTCTATAGGGAATGTCCTTTAATGTACTGCCGCAAGACACAATGCCTGCTGCTGTAGGTCCATCCATATAGCTCTTCCCCAGGCTTTCTTATCTCCAACCTTCCAGTCTTACCCTTTCGTGGCCCCTCACCAACCAACAAAGCCATTTATCACTCACTGTTCAAGAATTCATGTATACACTTTCTTCAAATCCCCGCTCTTCTTGCAAAGTAGGTGGCACGAAGCACCCTGGGAGAATCCTCCCTCGCCATTATTATTCAAGGACACCCGAGTGGGGCTGTTGTGTGGTAGCAGTCCCATGTTTCACTCACATCAATATATCAAACCGGGCCTAAGCTTTGTCCTCCTCTGGAGTCTGATCACGGAGAAGTCCCACAAAACTACAGGGTGAACTGAGAAAGAGAGTTATGGGTGCAACAGAGACGAGTAATGTGGGAGCCTGGGCTTAGCCTGCTCACGTAGCCTACTTGTGCCCTCTGAACTCATACCCAACCACAAATGTGCCATTTTGGATTACTGTGCCCACCCACTCGTGCTCATGACTTTGTGGGTCTGAAAATTCCCAGATCTTAATAAATCTG